GGGTGACCCCCTGGGAAGTTTCTCAGGGCGCGCACGAGTGAGGACAAAGTGCGCGGAAAAGGCTAGTGGTGGTTTGTGAGGACAGTACTAGAGGTCCAGAGAGAGTTTGGAGTAACTATATTGGACCCTACGGGGACAGGGTGTTACACTGTTACTTAAAGTCCTGGAAGCACCATTGATAAAGGGGTACAGACCTTGCAACGTAGAGATGTTACTCGAAGGCATGGAAGCATCGTTGCTAAAGGGGTACAAACCTTGCAACGCAGTGGCAGCCAGGAAGGAGGCCCTCCCGGCAACACTCGTCCCGGGAAGGAATGAAGCACCGTTGCTAAAGGGGTACATACCTTGCAACACGGAGCCTGCTACTCGAAGTCCTAGAAGCATCGTTGCTAAAGGGGTACAAACCTTGCAATGCCGAGCTGATCAGGAAGGTCTAAGTACAGTTGCTATCGGGTTATAAACCTTGCAACGCGAAGCCATTCCACAAGGGCGAGCAGACCGCCAGGCTGAGGCAGAAGACGCCTAGCAGAGGAAGAAGGATGAAGAAGAAGGAAAGAAGGAAAGAAGGAGGACAAACGAAAGCGTGATGACCCAGAAGTCGAGAACATCGGTAGGAAGTTTTCATTCACACCGAGCAGTATGGACATCACAACGACCATCACGTAAGGAGCCAAGTGATGATGCTGACAGGAGATCTCTAAAATCAATCGTCGGATCCTTGAGACTCGAGGGGTACACTGGATCACGGTTGTATTGTGCAATTCGCCTGTGATCATCTTAGATGTGAGCCCTACCGTGCTCTGTGCACGAAGCTGACACAACTTCATGATAGGGTGCAAGCGTCCCGGGAAGCCACCGCATTCTAGGAGCTTTGGCTCAAGGGTTCTAGAGGTTGATGGCACAGGAAGAGGTGCATGAGCATTCAAGTCACATTATTCTTGTGGACATGGAGACATTCCCCGAATGATACGAAGACGTCATATGACGAAGAAATTCACAGTAGCATAGAAGCACTGTTGCAAAGGGGCACAGACCTTACAACACGGAGCTGTGACTCAATGACCCGGAGGCACCGTTGAAATAAAACCTTGCAACGTGAAGCCATTACACGAAGCCATTACGCGAAGGCGTTCAAGCAACTCGAGCGAGTGGACTTCAGCGTCCATGCCATCAACAACAAAGCTACGAAGTATGAGGAAGGTCAGCGTCGCGATGAACCCACCTATGAAGTCGAATACATCCAGGTTGACCTTCAAAGACCGAGCAGAAGATCAAGATCAATGAAGGACACTTTGTCCAATTCTATGAGTGGAGCACTTCAAGTTTGTAGATCAAGTGCAGAGTGCAGGACACCCTATCAAGTCCTATGAGCGGAGCATCACAAGCTTGTAGATCAAATGCGTAGCGCAAGGCACCTTATCAAATTCTATGAGCGGGGCACTCCAAGTTTGTAGATCAAGCGGAGTGTAGGGCACTTTGCCAAATTCTATGAGCGGGGCACATCACGCTTGTAGATCAAGTGCGGAGCGCAGGGCAAATTGTCAAATCCTAAGAACGGAGCATCACGAGCTGGTAGATTAAGTGCGGAGCGCAGATCAACTCTCTCACATTCTATGAGCGGATCATCACAAATTGTAAATCAAGTGTAGAACTCGGAGCAACTCCTCAAGTTGTCAAATTCTTTCATTACTTAAAAAAAATATTTCGTTTTCCAGACTAGAATTTAATGAGGTCTGACCTCACTTGGAAATGAACGGGCGGCAGCAAAAAAAAAAAGAAAGGAAAAGAAAAATTAAAAAAAAGCAAAAAAAAATACTATGACGCCCCGCTCTCGGTGTTTAGACAACCCACGGCTCGATCCTCGAGCAAGGAAATGATCAAACTATTTTCTAAGTCTAGGATTAGCTGTTCGGTCAAGGCAACCGTAAGACCGCCATCCGGGTCGAAAAGGTATGCGAGAGGTCATGCCCGAGCCCCTCTCATACATCCATTGGCTGACGTTGTTCTCTAAACAACTTGCATGCACGTTTGATCCAATCAACGATGCGACAACTATATGACCGGTCTCCGGACCGAAGGTATGCAGAAGGTTGTGCTCTGAGCCCCTTTCGTACATCTGTTGTCTGACGTTGCTAGGCTTAGCAGCCCGCATACGCTCTTGACAGGATCAACAGAGCGGGTCTGTTTTGGTCTGATCATGCGGGGCATTGCCCTTACGTTTGGTCGACTTCAGTTCGACTTTCAGAAAGGGAATAGCCAAAATATTTCCTAAGTATGAAACTAGTTGTACAAGTCAAGGTGTAAGACCGGACTTCGGGTCGAAGGTATGCGAGAGGTCGTGCCCTGAGCCCCTCTGTCACGCCCCAGACCGCATCTAGGCGCGTGTACAACCGCCGTATGACCAAGTGACGTCACTCGCAAGTCAACGTGTCCTAATCATACAAGGCATCCATGAACATAATATATCCATGCTCAGTAGTAAACATACACAACAACATCACAATTTAGATTAATTGAATAGCGAAAATATTCATTAATCAATCGTGAGCCACACATGGCCAAAACGTAGGCTCGCAGGCCAAAACAATGTATTAATACAAAAGTATCCATGAGCATAGTTTATCGTTTGAAATAGTAGAGGGAGCACGAACCACGTCTTCCTCTGGATTCTCTTCACCCGTGCAAAGGTGTAGATGACAAGCCTTAACTTCAACCTGAAATGGTAGGGGTCCCCGAAGGTGTCAGTACAAGTACTGAGCGAGTAGCAAGCTAAATATAGAATAACTAACCTTTCAAGTACAAGACCCAAACATAGGGTGATACTTATGGAAATAGTCCTTTCCCCCAAGTTAAGAAATACTTAATAGTATATATACACTTGGAAAATACCCGATCCGTAGATCACCATTTTATTTGAGGAAAATAGTAATAGCCAATATTCTTGACTAAAAAAAACCCAGCGCACCCATATACTTATGAGTGTATAGGACTCCTACTTATCTTTGTTTCAATTTCATAATCTATGAGTGTTAAGGACTTTTAGTCCTAGGGTCCTCCACCAAGTTCATAATGTGAGTGTTAAGGACTTTTAGTCCTAGAGTCCTCCACCATGTTTATAATATGAGTGTTAAGGACTTTTTAGTCCTAGGGTCCTCCACCAAGTTTATATTTGAGTGTTAAGGACTTTTAGTCCTAGGGTCCTCCACCAAATTTATATTTGAATGTTAAGGACTTTTAGTCCTAGGTCCTCCACCAAGTCTATATTTGAGTGTTAAGGACTTTTAGTCCTAGGTTCCTCCACCAAGTCTATATTTGAGTGTTAAGGACTTATAGTCCTAGGGTCCTCCACCAAGTCTATATTTGAGTGTTAAGGACTTATAGTCCTAGGGTCCTCCACCAAGTTTATATTTGAGTGTTAAGGACTTTTAGTCCTAGGGTCCTCCACCAAGTTTATATTTGATGCTCAACCTCCTATCAACCTAGATATAGTCTATATCATATTCATAGCTAAATAACTTCATAAAGCTTATGTATTTCAATTCATGCAAGCCATGCATTTGTATCAATTTAAAATTAAAATTAACTAATACCGATCGGTATTAATTAATCCATCATCAATCGGTCAACGTTTTCGTTAACCGTCACTTCAAGCCTTATACATATCAACTTAATCATCATATATGTTAAGTTAATGACGTGCACTTTGTCGTGGTGTGCACTCAAAATAATAATTACAATACAACACTTATACGTAGTATAGTGCAGTAAGGTTCGTATCCACAGGGAAAGGAATACTTTTCTTTTATATAAATAGTAACAAGGGGGGTTTTAAGTTTGATTTGATTTAATTTAATTAACACTAAGATGAACGACTTATATGAGTTTAATTAATAGAGATGAAGACTTGGTTTTGCTTTTATCCACTTAATGAACTGTTCGTTGATCCCGGCTATATCTTTAACTATCTTCCTCTCGAATACTCGATCGAGGAGTATATCCAGTTAATCGAGGGTAGTTATTAATAACGAGACGCGTTCATTAATAAAACTTACTACCGAGTCAATATAGAACACGCGCTGTATATTAGCCCGATAGTAGCAATAAACTTAAGATGAAAACGGTTGAGATTGATAAGTTCAACACAAGCGGTTTATTGGTTTAATCAATATAATTAATTCCCCTTAGATTATTAACAATGAGACGCATGCATTAATAATCCAAGTTTTACTACCGTTGAAAGAACCGAATTAATAACATGCGTATTAATCGATTGATTCTAGTAATAATTAATATATGAAACAAAACTAGTTGATCCTTTAAGTAATGCTCAAAATATTAATATGAAATATGAATAGGAAATAATTAATATTCAAGGAAGAAGATTAAAGAAAATAACTCACAACTTACAAATTCATCAAGCTTCAAAGTAGCAAAACCAAGATGGAAGAGTTTAGCTCCTCATTTGGAGACTAAACATGAAGAAAATATAAAGAAAGAGCTTGTCTAAACTGAGCTAACAAGTATATGTGAATTGGTCGTTTTATTGTGAAGGAAAATGGGTGTATTTATAGGTGTTTGGAGCATGCAGGGATGTGTACCCGATCGGGCATATAGGTTACCCTTTCGGGTACCTTCAGAGGCTTTCCGAAGGCTGTAAAAGTGGGTCGTACCCGACCGGGTATGTCAGTAACCCGATCGGGTATGGACACTCGAACATGGTTAAAAATCCTCCTGCATGTTGCCTTGTCCCGGATCCGATCCGATTTGAAATTTCAACAAGATACCCGATCGGGTATAGGTCATCACTAGTGGAAAAACGTCAAACAGGGGCGCTTTGTTTGAGGCGCTTTTCAACGCAAGCGCCTCTGTTAAATGAATATTTTTTTTTTACGAACGCGTGCGGCGCTTATGGGCAAGAAACGCCTCCAATATGTTTCCGAAACTATTTTTTTTTAATAGTGTGGCGTGCGGCGCTTTCTTCAGACAAGCGCCTCTAATCCCGTTTTTTTTTATTTCGCACAATCGTGCGGGGCTTTCTTTACAGAAGCGTCTCTAATCCCTTTCTTTTTTTTTAATTTGCAGCCCAAGCGTGCGCGTGCGGCGCTTTTTTTTAACCCTAGCTAAGCACGAATTGGAACAAGCTAAGGACGACAAATCTCAAGCGTCGTTGATGACATGCAGCCGCGCACCGACACAAAGCTCAAGCGTGGGTCGTTGATTGTTTGAGCAGTCGTGCACCGTCTGTCCGCCTCCGTGCATATGCTAGCGCCGCCGCCGCCGTCTGATCGAGCAGATTGTTGGAACTGCACCGCCGCCGTCGGTCCGACACTTTCCCTGCTCGCTCGCCGTCGGTCCGACTCTGTCCCTGCTCGCTCACCGTCGGCTGGTCGCTCGGCTGCAACTGCTCCGGCACGCCGTCGACGGCTATGGCTCGGCGTGGACTGTTCCAGCTCGGCGTGGACTGTTCCGGCTTGGCATGGACTGCTCCGGCCAGCATCGCATAAAGGTCGGTTCATTTATCAATTAATTTTTTTGGTATATTTTGGTTGATTTCAATATTATTTGATTTTAGTTTGAATGTTTTTCGAATTAAAGTATATTTCCAATGATATCCATTGTTCCCATGTTTAGGCTTCCTTAATTTTTAATGGAATTACATTTAACATTGATAAAGGTGAGTTTATTTGTTCATTTTTTTGGCATATATATTTGGTTTTTCATTTTTATTTGATTTTAATTTGATGTTTTTGGACTGTGTGGCTCATATTTAATTGTAATTTATTAATTGTTTATTTGACATGGATATCATTGAATTTTATTTGATTATAGTATGTGTAATTATCAATTGTATTATGGCATTATTGTGTAGATTTTGTTGTTGGAAGTGGTTAGTTCTTGAATTGGTAAACTTTTTAGGAATAAAAGTATATTTCTGCTTATTCATCATATGTTTTACTTGGCAAATGTTGCTGCTGTTTTTTGATTTTAATTTGTAAGTGTTGCATTATGGTTTTGGTAAATGTTGGTGCTAGTTTTTGGTAAATGTTGATGTTGGTTTTTGGTAGAGGGTTGGCAATGATTTAACATACAATATGGTGCACACCATTGGTAGAGGGTTGGCAATTATTATTTGAAAAGTATCAAATATTTGTTTTTTTTGCTAAAATTTTTATATGCACTTAGCAAATATGTGATATTGTTTATATGCAAATTATATGATACTCCGTATATGATTATTAGACAAATGTAGAATTTCGTTGCAAATGAAATTCCCCATCAAACTGATTGAAGTAGCCCAAGTAAAGCCTTTTAAGGTTATACAGATACCCAAGCTCCCCTGGGATGACCCCCTCCAAGTCATTCCCTGCCAGGGAGAGAAAACTGAGGTTCTTTAAACCTCCATAGCTCGGCGAGATTGTTCCCGAAAAGTAATTCCCGCCTAAATCCAAATACTTAAGATTTTTAAGCTGAGTAATGCCAATGGGAAGAGGGCATGTAAAATTGTTGTCATAAAAATCCAACACTTCAAGCTGTGGCAGACTAGAGAAATTCAAGCTGGGACATCCACTGAACAGATTGCCTGATATGTTTAGGAGCCTGAGAGCATGAAGCTGAGATATAGGAGGTGGGAGAGGACCAGAAAGGTTTAAGTTGGAAATATCCAGGGACACCACTGAATTGTTGTACTCATCACAAGTCACTCCTATCCAGTTACTGCATAGTTGGTTGAAGTTGGAGAGGTTCCAGCTTGAAAGAGAAAGATTGTCTTGGGACTGGACATTCTGTTTTATAGAAACCAGAATGGTTGCTTGTCTTTTCGCAGATATAAAATGAACATGATGAGCTGAAAGAAAAGTGAGGAAAATCAGGAAGAGGGAATGCATGAAGAAGAGATGCATAGTTGCATACTTAGAGGAAGGAACATGTGGGAAGTTCAAAACTCAAAATTGCATTGAACTCATCTGATTGATAGCAAGAATCATGATAGTACTGAAAAGCTAAGGGCTTTCACCATCTTTATTTGCAACAATATTATTATGTTTGGAATAATTTTATATATTTAGTATGACAAGCAAAAGCAAAAAATATAAAATGCTAAATCATAATGAACCATGCAGGATCCTAACCAGATCGATTCTGGGAGCAAAGTGCCACCATGTAAGTTTCCTATTCCTCTTCCCACCATGTAAGTTTCCTATTCCTCTTCTTGTGGAAGTGTTCTGTTATGTAAAGGATATGCAATTTGGTACCACTGTTGACCGTGAAGACGTGACTCAATTTCTTGAGGGTGATTCTGTTGACATGTCTATTATTCAGACCTTTATGCTGTAAGTATTGTAATACATTTAGAAATACTCTTGAACTTTTGTTAGACATGATTAGTGATTAATTATTATTTCCGGCCACATGCAGTTGTTTAAATGCTAAGTTGATTGCGCTTGGTCGTGACAATGTGGGTCTTTTGTGTCCCCATATTTTTTCTTTTGGATATTATGAAGTCGATAGAAAAGGCACACTGACTTACATGAAGCATGCTCTGATTGAATTCTTTGAGAAAAATTTCATTCTGTTGGCATATAATGAAGGGTATGATTTATATATGGTATTCTTTTTACATATTTATTAATTGTGACGTAGCAAGTATTCACCCCTTCTATTGTCTTATGAAATATAGGTATCATTGGATTATGATTGCAATTTGTCCAAAGGTTGATAAAGGCTATATCTTCAATTCATTGCCCAGTTCATCCCATATTGCTATTCAAAAGGATTTGGCCATGTATGTTTTTTAAGATTTAGTTGTGATCTTTACCATTAATGTTTTTATGTCAATATTGAGCATGTATGTATGTGTATATATTGAGTTGGTATTGTAGGATGTATAGGGTTGCTTCCACACAAAAGGGTCGAGGCAAATCAATTAGTTGGCATGACTGCAAGGTAAAATGGATCATATATCTACTCTTATTTATATTATTTATGCCTTAATTAAAAAAGAGTTATTTAAAAGAAATACCTTGAGTTGGAAGTTCTGATATTGGACAGGTATTTTATTTATATACTTCAACAAGTGGATTTCATCAAATAACTTGCTTATATAATTTAGTTTAATAGTATTCATGTTATTTATGTTCTTATCAATGCTTTCAGGTTTGGAAGTCATGAACTGATCCATATTCGAAGAAAGAGTTTGATGAAATCAGAAATGTGTGGGCTAGATTTTTTGTAGATGAAGTTATGAATATGTAGTATTTTTACACATTTGAAGTTATGATGTAATTTCTTTTAATTGTGATGGAATATTTGAACTTTTATGGAGTTGAATTCTAAATGAAACAATTTGTACGTTTAATATGAAGTTTATGAATGAATGGTCATGTAAATAAAACAGGATAAAATTATGGTAATTAAAACAGGATATATGGTAATTAACAAATCTGGATTTAAAAAAAATAAAATTAGAGGCGCTTTCTCCAAAAAAGCGCCTCTAATGTATAATTTCCGAAAATTTTAGAGGCGCTTTTAACATATAAAGTGCCGCAAATAGTGCTTAAGTTACCGTGCGTGCGGCGCTTCTAGTAAGAAAAGCGCCGCGAAATGTCGTAATAAAAAATTAAATTTAAAAAAAAAATCGAGGTGCTTCTGACAAAAAAGCGCCTCCAATCAAGCGGGTGCGGCAGAAAAATTGGAGGCGCTTCGAAGCGCCGCGCGTGCCTGTCTAGAAGCGCCTCCAATCGCCGTTTTTCTACTAGTGCATACCCGACCGGGTATAGACCAAAAACCAGGATCTCTATTTTTGTCTTGTGATTTTGCACCTTCCTTCAACTTTTGGGTACACCAATGGTCCCTTGAGTGATCATGGGTCTGTTTGAGCTCAGAATAAATCTAATCTAAACAAATTACAAACATTTTTACAAACTAAACTATTACACCAAAAGTGTGTAATTTCCAAAGTAACAATCAATTAAAACTAATTAAAAATACAATCATAAACATGGAAATTACATGTTTATCAACTCCCCCACACTTAGTGTGTTTACTCGTCCTCGAGTAAAGTCAAATGTTCACAAGTGTTTCAACAAATCCTCATAAGTTCAAGAATAAAAAACAAAGAACATAAGATCACCAAGGTTTGCAAATGAGTTATACAAACAACATTTTCTTGGGTTTGTTGACCTTCTACGCTCTTTTGGTTCTTCTTCCTCTTCTTTCTTCAAGAGATGATGCCCTGCCAAAACAAACACATTTTTCTCTCATATCTCTCGTTTTGTCTAGGAGCCTTTCGAGGTTTTCATCCCAGCATATCTTTTATTTTTCCTTCCTTTCTAACTCACTCATCAATATTTTATAAGCCCTTATTGCTTAGATTTCCCGTTTTTGGGTTGTCAACCTAACTAGCATTTCTTTTTCTTTTATTAATGTTTTTTTGTGTGAAAAGAGTACAGGAAAATAATGCTTAGTACAAGGTAAAAACTAAAGGGATTTTAACATACCAAGAGATGAGTCTTCCTCCCCCACACTTGGATCAAGGCACTATCCCTAGTGCCCGCCTTCACCGCCATAAAAGCTGCCCCTAAAACCTCCATCGGTGCCTCCCTCACCCATAGTAGTATCCTCGCCATCATGGCCTCCACCACCGGAGCTAAAACCGCCAAAGCTACCACATTGAGTGGGGTCGTACCATGAGGGTGGTGGAGGTGGGGTGGCCATAGTATGGTAAGATGCTTGATGGGCTATGTAGGAGTACATCGGCCCATACATCCTCCGGCGATCCTCCTCATAGCAGTGGTTGTCGGCCTCCCGTAATTCCTCCCATCTTTGAAAAGCCGCTTGTTGCTCCGCCCGATACTCATCTATTCTTTGATCCCTTTCTCGTTGCTCCTCCCGATAGTGGCTAATTTCTTCTTGAAGATGGGAAAATTGCCCTCCCATTCTTGTGTATTCGAGGCCCATGTTTTGAAATCCGGTTAGGAGGGATTGTTGACCCACCAAAATTTGTTGGAAGAAGTCTTGTGGTGGCGGGTTGTGAGGGGGGTCAGGGATATCATGTTGGGCATTATCATGCCCTTCTCGGTGCTCGGGTTGGTCGGCTTGATGCTCGGGTTGGTCAATTTGCTCCGGTTGGGTTTGAAGGTGTGGTGGAATGGCATTAGGAAGTAGGTAATGTGTGGTTTCAAAACTTGCCATTTTATACCTAAGTTTAGGTATTTCCTTGGAGTGATGGGGAAGTAGATGGTGGGTTTGGGTAGGATATGCCACTTGTAGTGGTTTTTTCCGTTGTGATCTTTATGGGCAAAAGAGATGCATCCCGCATTTGCAAGCCAACCTATATGCATCAAATTGTGCTCGGCTATTGGTGCATCATCCACATAGCCGAATTTGGAGGCCAAGTGCATAATGACCCCCCCCCCCCCCCCCCCCCCCCCCCCCCCGACAGCAATATTTCCCTTTTTCTTGCAAGCTTTGTCTATATAAATGGTCCCACATTAAGTTGCAGAGTTTAAATTGTACGGGTAGTTGAAAGAGGGCTAGGGTGAGGATGGCCACGTCCCCCATCCGAGTGTGGTGGTTGTTGGGGCGACCGAGCAAACAATTGGCCAAAAACTTTAGGAAAATTCGGAGAATAGGATGTTGAACGTGACTAATGGATAGTTTAGACGCGCTCACCTTCAACTCTCTGGTCATTTTGGCCCATAAAGTATGGCCATCAATGGTGTTCTCGGGTGTTTGTCTCTCATGGGGTCCGGGGATGCCAAAATGTTCGGCAAACTCACTTCTCGTTATAGAGTGTTCGGTGTTGAATAACCGGAACGTGAGTGTGTCATTATTGAAGTCCTCCGCATCCTCACGTTCCTCAAACTTGGCCGAACTCAAGAATTCATATATCACTCTCTCATTACAATTATATTTCATGTCAAAGATCAAATTCATTTTCAACACATGAAATAATTCGCGCATTCTTTTCAACAAGCCTAAAGTAGTGAGAGTATCATGACATTAGAATCGAGAGGGGATTACTTGCCTTTTTAGTTGAGCCAAGAAACGTTGCTTTTGATTTCCCGGGCCGAACTGGACATCCTCCAACCCGGGAATTGGTCCCCTTGCAGTTGAACTCTCAGCCATGTCCCTTTTGGGTGTCATTGGTGTGCTTGTTGAAGCTTGATTTTCGGAGAAGAGGTGAGATGGATAGGGTTTCGGGTTTCGTGGTATATGGAGAGAGAGATGGTTTTGTGGGTATGAGGTTGTAGAGGAGAGTGAGGGGAAGATTTTGGTTGTTGTATGAGGTGATTTGGGTAGGAGATGAGAGAGTAATTGAAGAAAGAAGGTTCGAAAATGGTGGATTTGGGAGAGGGGTTTCGTATTTGGGAAGTTGATTTGGGGAAGATGGATGTGTTTGGGCGCTGATTTGGTATTAAAATCTCATGTACCCGATCGGGTACCCCGACATACCCGATCGGGTATGCGTGTATTTCTTCAAAACCCGGGATCCTACCCGATCGAGTTGGGGTGTACTCGATCGGGCGATTTGGTGCGAACTAATTCCCATAAAAAAATCAATTTACCCGACCGGGTGTATGGGTGTACCCGATCGGGTGCCATATTGATTTAAAAAAAACGCTCCAAGGGTCTTGTACCCGACCGAGTTGAGAGGGTACTCGGTCGGGTGATTTGCTTCGAACAAAATAATTTATTTTTTCAACAAATACCCGACCGGGTATGTATTAGCACCCGATCGGGTACTTCGTAATTTTCCACCCCTGAGTCGATCGAGTATTTGGTTACCCGAGCTTCACCCTTTATATTTTTGCTTATACCCGACCGGGTAGTGCGTGACACCCGATCGGGTATTGTGCCCCCGTTTTTTCCTATGTTTTAAAAATGAATACAACAAGGAAAGGAAAAAAATGTGTACCTTTGCTTGGGTTGCCTCCCAAGAAGCGCCTTATTTAACGTCGCGGTACGACGCCATGGTAATGTTCATCCTTCATAGATTGGATCGAAGAGATCCATGCATTCAACGCTTTCTTTTTGGAAACCTTCAAGGAACGGTTTGAGTTGATGCCCGTTAACCTTAAATATTTTATCGGTGTCAAGGCTTTTGATCTCAACCGCTCCAGGTGAGTAGACCTTGACCACCTCAAATGGTCCTTCCCACCGTGATCTCAACTTACCGGGGAAAAGACGAAGGCGTGATCTAAAAAGAAGGACTTTGTCTCCAATTTGGAAATCCTTTCTTGTTATCATTTTATCATGCCATACCTTCGTCTTCTCTTTGTAGATGGTGGCGTTCTCATAGGACTCCAGTCAAAGCTCCTCTAGCTCTTGGAGTTGTAGCTTCCTTTTTCTCCCCTCTTGCTCCATGTCAAGATTGAATGTTTTTACCACCCAATAAGACTTATGTTCGAGTTCGACTGGGAGGTGACAGGCCTTCCCGAATACAAGTCTATAGGGTGACATTCCAATTGGGGTCTTGAAAGCGGTTCTATATGCCCGTAAGGCATCATCCATGCGAAGACTCCAATCTTTGCGGTTAGGATTCACCGTCTTTTGGAGTATAGACTTCAGCTACCTGTTTGAGACTTCGGCTTGACCATTTGTTTGTGGGTGGTAGGCGGTGGAGAGTTTATGAGTGACACCATACTTCTTCAACAAGGCACTCACAGTTTTGTTGTAGAAGTGAGTGCCCCTGTTGCTTATTAAAACTCGTGGAACTCCAAACCTTGAGAAAATGCGGGTTTTGAGGAAGTTCGTCACTACTTCGGCATCATCGGTCTTGGTGGCTTTTGCTTCCACCCATTTTGACACGTAGTCCACCGCCAAGAGAATATATAGATTTCCATGGGAATTAGGAAAAGGTCCCATGAAATCTATTCCCCACACATCAAAGATTTCCACGTAGAGCATAGGAACTTGTGGCATTTCATGTTTTCGAGAGATGTTGCCCATGCGCTGGAAATTGTCACAAGATCGACAATAGACATGGGCATCTCGAAACAATCTTGGCCACCAAAAACTGCACTCTAGCACCTTCATTGACGTTCTTTTTCCTCCAAAATGACCACCACATGCATGTGAGTGGCAAAAGCAAGGATGGATGCTATCTCTGTTTCAGGAATGCATCTTCGAATTACTTGGTCCTTGCAATGTTTCCATAAGTATGGTTCATCCCATACGTATTGTTTTGCATCGTGTTGGAGCTTCTCTTTTTGAGCTTTAGAGAAGCTTGGCGGGAACCTGTTTAGAACAAGGAAATTAACAATATGTGCATACCAAGGGTGAATTCCCTTTAGAGAGAAGAGGGTCTCATCGGGAAATTCCCCCCGGATGTCATCTTTGATGTGATCGTTCCCATCATCAAGACTTAAACGGCTCAAGTGGTCGGCCACCAAGTT